CCGGGCCCAGGGCGGCGCGGCCGGAGTGGGCGGGGGTCCCGATGCAGGCCCGAGGGGGGCCATGGGGCAAGTCCTGCCGGTCTTCGCCCACTGCAGTGAGTAGGGGGAGGTTTGGGCCTGGTGTGGGGCCCGGAGGTCCGGGTGGGGTCCTCTCGGGTGTTCCCTCTGCGTTGGTCCGCGGGAGAGCCGGCCTGGGGGAAGGAGACAAAGGGAGCGCTCCCCTCCCCCCGCGCTCTGGCGGCGATGGGGCGGCCTGACTGGGAAGACTGGGTGAGATGGGACCAAGGATGGGGGCGCTGGCATAGCTGGAAGGAGGGGGGAGCGCCGGGCGCCAGGTTGTGCCCGGGGCCCCGCCCCGGGGTGAGCTAGAGCGCAGGGAGCTGTCCTCTCGCCCTGGTGCTGGCCGCAACCAGCAGGAAGGGGGGGCCTGAATGAGCAGTAGAGCCAGGATGGTGGAGAGGGATACGACCCCCACCACCCGTCTTCGCATCCCCCTCCCCACACTTTTCTGCCTAGACTCTGAGGCAGCCTGGACCTCGACCAAATCGTCCAACCTCCTGTCCCCGGACACCAAGCATTCCTGGGTTGGGGCCAAGACTCCTGGATTATTAGCAGGCTTTGCCACTGATTAGTGGTAAGCCTAGGGGAGACCCGCGTCTCTCCGGGTCTCCGATTCCCCAGCTGAGTAAGCGAGGTAGGGCCGTGGGCGTCCGATTTTAATTTTCTAACGGTATTGGGCATCTCCTGTAGGCCAAAGCTAGCTCTGAGGGCCTGGATTCCAAAATTGAAAAGGCTTTGTCCAATCTTCAGGATCCCAGGCTCTAACAGTCTGTGTTGAGCATTCTGACAGCTGGGGATTCCAACACTTTCCGATCCAGCCACTCACGTGTCCTGAGAGTCCAGATGCCACAATTCTAATAATTTGCTATTTCAATATTGTAGAGTACCATTCCAACATTCTAAGATCTTGTCCTTAACTTGGCTTACATGACCTGTTCCTCCTTACTCACTTGCCTTCATCTTCCATCTCTCTCCCCTTCAGTCACTGTGCCCTGTATTCAAGTATAGATAATGCCTGTCTCAGGGCCGCCTGTCTCAGGGCCTTTGCACTGGCTGTTCCCTGTCTCGAATGCTCTTCCCTATTCACATGGTTTCTCACTTCATTTGGATGATCAAATATCATTTTATCAGAGATGCCTTCCTGAGGACCTCATCTGAAACAGCATTCCCTCATTTTCTAATCCCTTTCTCTATTTTTTCCTTTTTTGCATGCATATCATATATTCACCCAACATCATGTGTGTATTTGGTTACTATCTGTCCTCCCCGCAGAGTTGTAAGCTCTTTGAGGACAGAACAGTGTGTTGTGTCGTTTGCTGTATCCCCAGGGCACACAGTACTTGGCATATAGTAGGTGCTCTATAAAAGGTTGTCGGAAGAATGAGGGCATCGACACCTTCTAAGAGTCCTATCTCCTGGAGTTGAACATTTGAAAGTCTGATGGCAGTGATGCTAAGATTTTACAGTCTGTATGCAGAATGTTCTAAGGGTCCTGTAATTCAAGCATTCTAAGATTCCTTAATTCGGACCATCTGAGATTCCAGGACTGGCACGCTTCTGTGATTCGGACAGTCCAAGCTTCTAAGAGTCTTCGATTCTCTTCCTCTCGCAGAAGAAGCGCCCTCGACAGCCTCCTCTACGCCTGATTCCACCGAAGGCAAGTGAGGTGGGCGGAAGGGGAGGAGAGGGACTTGAAGGGCGTACACAGCTGAGAGGGCTTTGAAGAGTCTTCCGGGTGTCCTGCTCCCGGAAGTTCATGGCTCTCCTTTGCCTGCCACAGGAGGGAACGACGACTCTGACTTCCGGGAGTTGCACACAGCCCGGGAATTCTCGGAGGACGACGAGGAGGAGACCACATCGCAGGACTGGGGCACCCCTCGGGAGCTGACCTTCTCCTACATCGCCTTCGACGGCGTGGTGAGCTCCGGGGGTCGCCGGGACTCGGCTGCCCGCCGTCCCCGGCCCCAGGGCCGCTCAGTCTCAGAATCGCGAGACCCGCCCCCTCAGCCTGGACTAGGCGACAGCTTGGAGAGCATCCCTAGCCTGAGCCAGTCCCCGGAGCCCGGACGCCGCGGTGCCCCCGACGCTGATGCTGCCTCTCCGGTTGAGCGCCCCCTGGAGGACCTGCGGCTCCGACTGGACCAGCTGGGCTGGGAGGCCCAGGGAGGGGGATCTGGGGAGGACTCCTCCACCAGCAGCTCCACTCCGCTGGACGACGAGGAGCCGGCAGAGGCAGGAGAGGCTGGGGAAGGTGAGAAGGCAAGGGGCTGGGCCGGAGGTCATGAAGGGTGGCTGGTCTCTCAAGACACCCCTCAGAGAAAAAGCTCATGGCCTTGTCTCCCTATTCCACCCCACCACCCACCCAGAACTGGACACACAACTCCGTCTTGCTCAACCCTCGTTGCCTGAGGCCTTGACTCCCCAGCCCAGTCCGAGCTCTGGGACGCCCCAGGCTCATACCCCGTCCCCATCCCGATCCCGGGATTCGAACTCTTGGCCTGATGAGCCCTTGGTGGACGAGAAGGAGGAAGAGCCGCGGGGGCAGCTGGAAAAGGAGCCAATCACGGGGCAGTGCCTCGACAGCACGGACCAATCAGAATTCCCATTGAAACCACACCTAGGTAAGCAGTGTAAGTGAAAGTTTTCTATTGGATTACAGTGAGGCAAGGGGCGGGATTTAGAGAGACCAACCTCTGGAAGGAAAGAATAGGGCCGAATAAAGGAGGTGATGCTGTTGGCTGTTGTCGTTGTTGTTAGGTGCTGTCAAGTGGGTTCCAACAGAACAACACTGGCCGTCCTATGCCGTCCTCATAATCCTTGCTGTGCTTGAGCCCATCATTGCAGCCACTGTGTCAGTCCATCTCCTTGAGGGTAATCCTCTTTTTCACTGACCCTTAGCATGATGTCCTACAAGTCTTAGTCCCTTCTGTCAACATGACCAAAGTAGGAGAGAGACAAAGTCTGGCCATTCTGGCTGCACTTCCTCCAAGACATTTGTTCATTCTTCTAGCAGTCCATGCTACACTCAATACCAACACCACAATTCAAAAACATCAACTCATCTTCCGTCTTCCTTATTCGTGGTCTAGCTTTCACATGTGTATGTTGTTGTTGTTATGTGCTGTCCAGTTGGATCCGACTCATAGCGCTGACTCCTTGGGTTTCCGAGGCGGTATCACTACGGATGTAGATTGCCCCATCTTCCTTCCCAGGAGTGGCTGGTGGATTTGAACCACCAGTCTTTTGGTTAGCAGTCAAGTGCCTTAGGTACTATGCTACCAGAGCTCCCACATATGTATGAGGCAATTGAAAATACCATGGCTTGGTTCAGGCCCACCATAGTCTAAAAAGTGATGTCTTTGCTCTCCTGTTGGCTAGACATTATAAACTCTGCCTCTTTAAAAAAAAAAAATCCGTTAACTGAGGGATGCCATTGGCTATTTGTACATATTTCCCCTGCCCACTTGAGAAATTAGCCCTCCTTGAGTCATTAGGATTGGCTGATGGGTAATAAATTAATAAAAATCCGCCCTCTTTGAGAATACTCCCCCGGAAAAAAAAAAAGCTCTCTTCTGTATATGGATTTTGAATATTTATTCTTCGTCTTTTAAAAACTCTCTTCTTCCCTGACTTGGCTGGTCTGATGGACTCCACCTCATTGTACAAACTGCTCCGCCTCCAGGAACCAGGGGCTGGTTATAGGCCCCACTGCTTTTATCTATTTAGGAAGAGAGCCCCGCCCTTTTTGGCCTTGCCCCCACGCCTGTGGCCAGCCATTGGCTGGGTGCATGTGGGCCCCGCCCTCCCACTCCCTCCCTCCGGGTTCTACCGAAGTGGGCAAAAATCCCCCAGAAGTAGCAGCGTCTGCAGCCTCTCCCTTGCAGTGAAGATGGGGAGTAAAGGTGGGCTTTCGGGGCAGACTGGGAGCGGGGCTGGAGGAAGGACAAGGACGAAAGGGGTCCGAATTCGCGGTCATCTTCCCTAAATCGGGGGCGTGTTTCTTCTTGGTCCCCAGATTATGCAGAGCTGCAGGCTGGGGTTGCGGGGCTAAAAGGCTGTGTAGGTAGGGTGCCGAGGGAGGTTAGGGTCCCCTCTCCTTCGAGCTGGGGCCTTGGGGCCCAGGAGCAGGGAGGCCCCCTCCCCCAGCCTTGGGCCCAGGTGGCGCTGTCACTCAAGGGGCTGGATGAGCCGGCACAGCTGCGGGCGAGGCCCCCTCCGGCCAGCCCGCCCCGCGGGACTAAACTTAGCCCCCGCCTCAGGCGACCCGGCCCCTCCCCCACCCACTGGTGCGGGCCTGGGGAGCCTGCGGGGCGTGCCCTGCCTTGAGGGGGAGGCTGCCCTACTTACAAGGTGGAAGGATATGTACAAGAATACAGAAGTGAGGGGACAGACTCAGAGGGGAGCCGTGGAGATAGGTCCGAGTTTGCCTGGAGTGAAGATGAGAGAACA